ACTCTTGTAAATATTTAAGCAGGCAATTGTATAGTTGCAAGTCAGGTTGTCGACAATTTAACTTGCAACTAAACTATCGATTCCCTGTTGCACTGGCAAGCTGTGCATGTATATATATAGCTAATACCTGTTTTTTAAATATATATAAAAATTTATACTGCTGCTCTATATTTTCTTTTATCATTGAAAAACAATAATCCTGAGGAGTATGTTGCCTGTTTGCAAAGTTCTTCTACTAAATTAAAAAGTGTTTGCTTGGTTGTGCCTAATCCTAATATCAATTCTTTTTTAAATGTAAATATTTCAAAGTATATGTACTTGCTATATATATTTTATAATGCTAATAAAAAAATAAAAAAGAATTTGTAAGGTTTCTGAGATTTTGCAATACCAGTAATGTAAAAACTGCAGCTGTTTTGAAAGCAGATATCGATGAATTAAAAAAAAATAAAATAAAAACACTTAAAAATTTTGTAAGTTCAAATAGACTTAATAATAAAAAACCTAGTTAATACCTTTATATTTCAGGTAAGGGAAAACCTGATAACACATAAACACTTTGTCAATGTTCACAATATAAAAATGATATCTCAGTTTTTTATAACAAGAAAAAATTAAACTTAACCATCCCTTGGATCCCTATTAAGCATATACTGAGAGGAATTTGCTTCAAAAGTGATCTGGAATTTACTTGCCGAAAAGAGGATTTTGATGAAGACAACTTCTACATGACTAAATGAGAAATAAAAATAGAGATGACAAGTATTTTTATAAAAATGATAAAAAAGTTTGAAATATAGAATATTAAGTTTTTATTTAAATTTTTATATAAGTAAACATTAGGTAGAGAAAAACGAATAAAAAAAAAAAAAAAATACAATTAAAAAAAAATAGTGAATTAACCGAATAAATATAGATCAAATAAAAATAAATCTGTTTGATACAGATCAAATAAAAATAAATTTGTTTGGATATAGATCAAATAAAAATAAATTCGTCTGGATACGGATCGGATCAAATAAAAACTGATCTGATTCGATTCGATCCGTTGCAATCCCTACTTCCAGGTAATAAAAAAGCTACTATTTATTTAAGCTGAAATCTTTTTCTCTTATTATTTTGATCAAGCAAAGTTTAAGATCAAGATTTCTTTTTTATCTTGGTCAGATAATAAAATTGAATAGTCTCTAATATATATTAAGCTTCAATTATTTGGCTATAGTTAAAAATATATTTTCTTAAAAATAATTGAATAATATCATAATAAATAAGAATTTTATTATTTTTTGAAACCCTCCTACCATTACAAAATAAAAGGATTGTTAAGAAATCCGACCTTTTGAATAATAAAAGATGTATATCAATAAAATTTCTTTAATTAAGTATAACTATTGAAAGATATTATACTAAAACAACATAATTTAATTTTTATTGAATTATATAATAATTTAGAATCTATTATAAGTTATCTTTCTATTATAGATGAATAAAAAATCACTACTCAAAAAAGATTAGAATCAAGTATATTCTAGAAGTAAAGACTTCCACTAGATAATAAGTCTTCTTAGATAATATATAAAAAGAAAATCAAGATTAAGAATAAATAAGATCTTCAGATGATTAAAAGAAGAAAGGATATTCCAATTAAGTATTTTTTATTGAGAAGAAGTTTTAAAAAGCAAATTTTTGAAAGAAGCTATGAATTTTTTTTTTAATTTTTACTCTTTCATTTTTTTGTCATCTACTTAAATATTTTTAGATACTATATTTCCCTTTTCTTATTTTTAATCTATTTTTTTATAATTTTCTATATTCCAGTAGCTTGATATGATATATAATAGTAATAATCTGAAGATAATAATGTAATAAACTAGGAATGTCTTTATCCAAAAATACTATGAAGCAAAATATTGTTTCAAGGCCAAACCTAAAGGCTTTTATGTTTATAACAAGTTAGCTAGATTTTAATAATAGTTTAATTATAATACTATATACTATATATTATATTGCTCAAATGAAAATATACTTTTGTTTTTAATTGATTAATAAATTGATAGCTACAAGTACTCAAAAAAAAATATTATTATTATTATTATTATTAAAATTGTATTGTTTTATAATACAAAAATCAATAAAAAAAACTCTTTCCTATAGATCCCTGACTATCACTTCCAAAGAAGCGTTCCCTCAAAACTCTCCTTAAAAACATCTGCTTCGGTCAGCAGTAGTCATACCTTATCCTTCTTGTTTACCTTTTCTCTTCAAAAACCCTTTACCTAAGAAGTTAATGGCAAGAAAGCTTTTTTAGAAAGAAGAAATCAGATAAAAAAATACCCTCACTCTCTTCCCTATGGAAGTCCCAAAGTACAGGAAGAAGTGTGGTTCAATAATTTCATGCTAGCCTGGGAAACTGACATCAATACCACAGGCAGAAATGGCTTCTCTCTCAGTGTACAACAGTTTTTCTTGATATTCTGAGGAATTTTGCCTACCCCGGCTTGACCCTGAATTTTCTGTTACATCAGATTTTGGATAGATTGATTGGCTAAAGATTGGGATTGGTTGCTCCATGGTTAGTAGAAAAGTAAACAAGAATACATGTAACATGGAATGTAAATGTATTTCCTAAGCTTTATAAGAACTTTAGATCCATTATAAGTCATTAACTAGTTATGTAGATGGATAAACATTACATGGACTGTGATCTCCTCTCTCTCATTATCTCCGAAAGTGTTAAGGCTATGGATTGAGTACCTTCAGAGGCAAAGTTGAGTGGATGAGTAGTTGTTAGGTGTCCCTTCATTTCTTCCCTTATTTCATTTTCTTGTAAATATTTTCAACCTTTCCCCTTGTTTTCCCTCTTTTCGTCTATCTCAATTTTTTTACACTGACTGATTTTTGACTAGTACAAGTGACCCTTAGCACTGGATGGTGTTGAGTAGCTTGGGTGAATCCTGATAGGTTAGGCCCCTCTAATGGGTGATAAAAAGTTAATTGATAGATTAAAATCCTAGATAGTATCAAACCAATGGTAACAGATAACCAACAATGCACCTTTGATTGTATCTGATCAATCTCCTCTTTGTTATTAGAAGAGAGTATTTACATTAGGCGGTCATGTATTTTCCTTATCCTGGTTAGGTTAGACTTAGATCAAGTGTAATAAATAGATAGCTCTTTATACTATTTTCTCTCTAATGATCTGTAAATTCTTAGACAATACAGGGAAATATTCATCCCGATTGTCCCTAAATATGATCTTCTTTTAATAAAGTGGCCGGAGAGGTGCAGGATGAGCCAGTGTTTTAAAAAAAAAAAAAATTATTTTATAACAACTAATAAAAATAATAACAACAAAAAAATTGACAAAAAATTTTTTGAATCTTATTATTGATAATATTTTTAAAGTGATTAGATTTTGCATTCGATAATCGATCAGATAATCAATCAAACAATTTATAAATTGGGCAGATTAATTTCTATTCACTTTTGAGAGACGATGCCCTCTGTCTTATCTAAGTTGTCGAGCTTTGCGACAATTCCTCCTGGCGTGACGGCCTCTTTCAGCATCGCTCAACTTCGAAAAAGCCTAGAACATATATGGAAAATATATAGCAGGAATAGAACTGTATTAGGAAGATCTATCTGGATCCTTACAGTTTATTATCTTTACTTCAGCAAATCATACGGTTCTAAATCACAAAAATCCAAAGCCAAGTCGGCCGGCGAAGATGCGAAATCAAAGAATGAAAGAGTTGCGGTATGTTATTTTTCAAACCAATAAAATCTATTAAATTGAGGATTCCGATTAACAGAGTTTGTTTCATCGAAACCTAGGTTGACCATGTTTTCTTTGAGAGACTGAAAAAATTACTTAAAATTGTAATACCGGGAGTTAAATCAAAAGAATTTTGGCTTCTATTTGTCCACTCTAGCTTTTTAGGTAATTCATATTATTGATTTAATATATCGAACATATTGTGTACTCATTGTTGAATTATTTTGATAATTTAGTGTTCAGGACGGTCCTTTCCGTGTATGTAGCAGCATTAGATGGTCGAATCGTTAGTGCATTAGTAAGTCTTATTTACATACCTTTCTTGTGGTGAAATATGAATTTAGGAATTCATACGATATTTCAATGTAGGTTCGAGGAAATAAAAAGGATTTTTTTACCGGAATAGTATGGTGGATGACTGTTGCAATTCCTGCTACATATACAAATAGCATGGTGAGAAGAAAAAATACCAACTCAACTTTGATATCTGATGTCATAAAAATTAAAGATTTTTCTATTTGTTTATTACGTTCAAGCTTACATTTATGCAGAATAAATTGGCTATACAATTTCGGACTCGCCTCACCAACTATATACATGAAAAGTATTTAACAGACATGACATTTTATGCCGTGGGAAATTTGGATGATCGGATAAAAAATGCTGACCAGTATGTCATTTTTTTTTTTTTTTTTTAGCGGACATTATTTTTTTAAATGAATTTTGGGCACTAATTGTTTTGTTAACACAGATGTATCACAGTGGATACAATGAAATTTTGCAATTCTCTCTCTGAACTCTACTCAAATCTGGCAAAGCCAATTTTAGACATTTTTATTTATAACTTACAGTTAGCAAAGAATGTTGGTGGTGAAGGTTTATATGCTTTATCTCTGATGGCACATATATCTTCAGTTGTTCTGCGAGCGTTGACACCGCCATTTGGAAAAATGGTTGCGGAAGAGCAAAAGTTGGAGGTATTATTTTGTTTTACTATCTAATTTATTTTAATATACTGTAAATTTATATTCTCACATGCAAATATTATATTAGGGAGAATTTCGGTTTTCACATTCTCGAGTAATTGAAAATGCTGAAGAAATTGCATTCTATGCTGGACACGAAGTTGAAAAGACCATCTTAGATCGCAGCTATTTTGCATTAATTAAACATATTAATAGAATCTTCAGAAAACGTATTCTCCATGGAATAATGGAAGATTTCATTATTAAATATTTCTGGGGTGCAATGGGATTGCTTCTATGCTCCGTTCCCGTTTTTTTCAAAATACCAGGAGTTCATGTAGAGGATCTCGGTACCCGAGCTCAAGGTATATATATTTTTATTTATATTATTCATTATGTATAAAATAGTCGACGCATTAATTTTTTATTTTTAATTAAGGGTTTATCACTAATCGCAGATTGCTAATGAGTTCATCGGATGCTTTTGGTCGTGTGATGTATTCATACAAGGAAATTGCCGAATTGGCCGGATACACCGCCAGGGTATATATAAATTTATAAAAAGTTAATATTATTTTATTCCAAATAGTAATTAATAATAGCCTTGTATTTATCCATATTAGGTCTCAGAACTTCTACATGTTTTTGATGAGGTCAAGGCTGGACGGTTTGAAAAGCGACTTGTTTCTTCAGTATCAATTAAGGAAAATGCCAAAATTTTGTCCGGTCGTGGAGAAGTAACCGAAAACGAGAACATTAAATTCATTGATGTGCCCATAGTATCACCAAATGGTGATGTATTGGTGAAAAAATTGAATTTTTATGTTGATCGTGGAATGCATTTGTTAATCGTTGGTCCGAATGGTTGCGGAAAAAGTAGCTTATTCCGAATTTTGGGCGGGTTATGGCCTGTCTATGGTATTTATTATTTTATATTTATGATCTTTGAATTTCTATTTTCACATCCTAACCTACATATTATTATAGGCGGAACGGTTTACAGACCAAACCCAAAAGATATTTTCTATATTCCTCAACGCCCTTATTTATCACTTGGAACCCTGCGCGATCAGTAGGTGTTGCTTTTACAATTACATTTAGTATCTTTAATTGTAATTAATTGGGACCTTTAAAAAATTATGTAGAATTATTTATCCACATACCGTTGACGAGATGAAAAGGCGTAAGTATTTATTTATTTATTTTTTTTTGATATCTAAAATTTTATTTTTTGTTTTTTTTCAATGTTTTTTTCTTGTATCTATTATTATATTAGGAAATGTGACTGATCAGGATTTGCAGGATATCCTTAGTGTTGTTCAATTGAATAACCTTGTTGAACGTGAGGGTGGATGGGATAGAGAAAGAGAGTGGAAAGATGTTCTTGCCGGTGGTGACAAACAAAAGGTATGATCTACGTTTCATTTTTTGCTTTTGATACACTCTTTATATAATATCGTTTACCTTTAGATTGCTATGGCAAGATTATTTTATCACCGTCCAAGATATGCCATTTTGGATGAATGTGAGTTTACAGACCATATTGTTTAACAAATAGGAATCAAGCGTAATCATAATTTTGACATTCATATGACAGGCACGAGTTCTGTGGGTCTTGAGGTCGAAAAAATAATGTATACACATGCTACAAGTGAGTATTATTTAATTATTATTTGTATTTTGATATTCTGTGCAGATGCTAACAAGAAAATCTACATTCAATAGAGCTGGATATCTCTTTATTGACCGTATCTCATCGACCATCACTTTGGAAATATCATAATTATATTTTACAGGTATGCTAATTTTTAAATTGTTTGTTTTCCACCGAAATAATAATCATTTGCTCATCAAACTTTTTTTTTAATAGTATGATGGTCAAGGTGGATGTGTATTTGCAAAGCTAGATGCACAGAGGAGATTAGAATTACAAGAGGAAAAACAAGCCTTGGAACATAAATTGGTCGAAGTGCCAAGGTTACAATCGAGATTGAAAGAATTGAAAGAAATGCTAGCAGAAAGAGATGACTTTGAAAATAAGGAAGCGACAGTACAATAACACGTCACTATATAGAAATACATTATTTTTACATAAGTATGTCTAATATATTGTTATATTAAGGACAATAATTTTTTTTAATTTGTAGCCTTTTTTTTTTTTTTGTAAAATACTATTTGTAATAATATGATTGTGATTTTATATTGTTTTAAAAGGTTGGAAAAGGATTAATACTCCCTGCAAATAAAAATATATGTTAAGCTGATTAATTGATTAATTGAAGTTTTTTATAATATTATTAATTGTATCAAAATGTTATATAGATATTATTATTATTTTTTTTTTTATCTGTAATCATGTCACAATGGCTTGTCTTTATTAAGAAATTAAAATAAAATCTACAATAATTTAGACTTTTTCACAAAGCAATTAAATAACTTATCATTATATATAAGTATTTTAAATTAAATTTTGAAACAAATTATATTTTTTTGATATAATTGAATTAATTATTATTTATTAAAATTGTTATTGACAGTTTGTTACTATATTTTAATATGAAAATCATTAAATTGCTAAGTTAAGAATAGTGATAACAAATTGATTCATAAATTGAATATAAATCAAATTAAATGAAATTTTAAAATTTTTAATCTTATTGAATTCAGATCAAATTGAATTTTAAATTTATAAAATTATTAAATTCAAATCAAATTTAAATCAATTTGATCAGATTCAAATCAGATTCAAATCAATCTATATAAATTATTATATAATTATTTAATTTCATTTAAATTAAATTATCTCGAAAACTAAAATAAAAAAACTTGATTATTTTTTAAAAAAATAATATATAAAAGACAAGATAATAAAAAATTTTAATACTTGTTCTCTTTACAATTTTTTAAATATTTCTTTATTATAATATAATTTTACTACTAATTATTTTTATTATGTCCTTTACTTTTATTAATTTATTTCTTTTTAAAAAAGAAATATAAAACTTATTTGATAGTATTTAATTTGTATATAATAAAATAGTAGTTTAATTAATTATTATAATATTGATATTGAAAATGTCAATATAAGTTATTTATTGAATCAACTTCAATTATTTTAACAATTTCTAGAAGTAAAATATGAAAATACTTTATAAAAAGTTTAAGTTTTAAAAATAATAAAAAGATTATCTGTAAATATTGCAAAATAATATATACTTGTAATAAAGGTAATATTTTTAATCTTATAAAATATCTCAAAAAAATACATTCAACAAAATTAAATTTAATAACTAGTAATACTAGAATCATTAATTTTATTAAAATAAAGATAATTTCAAATAGTTTTTAAAAACTAAAAAAAAAATTATTGATTTATTTAATTTATTTATAGTAAATATATGACTTAAAAAAATAAAAAAAACTTGTTCAATGAATTGTTATAAACTAGTAATTTTTTATGGTTGTTCAAAAATTGATTCTTTTTATTTTTGTACAAATATTAATATCAGATGCAAAAATACTTTTTACTACTTTTATCAAAACTTATATAATAAATTTTTATTTAAATAGTTATGAAAAATTCAAAAAATACTACAAGAAATAGAACACAAAATTTCATTTATACTGATATTTAGACATCAGTTTCAATAAAAATTGAAAAATACAGAATATAATAATAGACTTTATATAGTTATAAAATACTTACTTATTAGGTTTTTTTTTTGTTTTTGTTTTTTTTTTTTTTTTTTAACCCGCAATCCTGCCACGATGACATATATTATTGAAAAATTGAAATAAATTTACAATATTTTACAGACTTTCACAAAGTGACTAACTCATCTTTATACAATAGTACTCTAAGTCAGATTTTGGGGATAATATTTCACTCCCTTAATAGATTGATAATAACCTCTATCTACCAGGATCATTGCTAACAATTTGTCACTATAGATTGCCTAGAAATCAATAAATTTCTAAGTTAAAAAAGGAGAAGGAGAAAAAAGAATTGGGGAAAGGGAACAATTCAAGACCCACCAAAAAAAAAATCCAAAAATAAAAACAATCTCTTCTCAAAAGGGATCTGACTAATTGGGATAGTCTTCTTACTTCACTTGAACCTTAGAAGAAATCTTCTTTTTCACTACCTGCGGTATCGGACAAGTCAATCCAACTGGTTTTTCATTTAAGTGAGCACCAGATTAGAATATCTCAAGGAAAGCATTTAGACCTCAGCTTTTTTTCATTAAAGCTTTGTCACCACTTGAGGAATTTAGGTAAGAGACAGGAGTTTGCAATTCACATTATCCATCACTTGGTCTTTTGGTATCATGGAATTTTTTTATTGAGAGACTTAAGCTTTTTTGGGGGCAAACATTTCCAGAACCTTCTTTCCAATCACCAATGACATTATCGGAACATGTGAGTGTGACCAATAGAAGCTTGTTTACATTCCAAAAACTAACGTGTTTCATGTCAGCCAATCACCTTTGGTAAGGATTTGTACTATCAAAAAAAAAAAAAAAAAAACAAAAACAAAAAAAAAACCTAA